AGGCAAATCAAACAAAAATGAAAAGAAACATATTTTGTCTGTGGAAAAATCGAAACTAATTAGTGTTTTTACGATTTTAGCGGTTTGCTTTGATGAAGAAAGGGAGATATATATCCCATGATACATTGCAAAACCATTCAAAATGGCGGGCTTGTGATATGGACTATGTTGCTAGAATGTGACAGCAAAATGAGTATTAGATTATTTTTTGCATATTTTCAGGTTATTGCACAGATTTCTCGTAGTAAACTTAAGAAGTGGATCTTTGATATTGCCATTCATTCCAAAGAAAAGGACTTGAAGAGGTATGTGAAAAATGGGACAGATATCAATAAAGCTTCTGATAGGCCACTTGCATGATGGCGTCATTTAACGACAGGTACCAGAATGCCTTGTGCAAGGCATTCAAGGGACTACAAATTTGAATGGCAATGAAAATCTGAAAGGCATTCTGGTAGTTGYAGCCCGTTACATGAGCTTAAAAGACGCCATCGTGACAAATGGTCTGTTGCCAAGACAGAGGTCTTTGCAGGTACAGAGGCCTAGGTCGGTGATTCATGCACACCAGCCGATCACGACTTATTACTCAATGCATATGGAACTTATGGGGGACAAATAGTCCGTGATCACTCAAGCTTGACCTGACAGTCCGTATGAAGTGCCAAATTTGACGAAAAAAAGCCAGATTTCAAGGCTTTTTGAAGAAATGCGGCGACATTAAAAACAATCCTAAAAACCTAGCACCGGATTTAAGAAATAAAATCTATATGCGACCTTTCTGGGTATTTTTCATGAGAAAATTCGAAAATCCAATCACGTATTTTTGCCCTTGAAGAGTTGAAGTTTAGCATTAAAATAGTATGGCGATCCATGTTTTCACCACAGTTCGCTCCAAAAAACTGGGCCTCGCGCATAACTTATTTTGTTAATAAAAAACCTAGCACCGGATTTAAGAAATAAAATGTATGTGTGACATTGCTGWGTATTTTTCGTGAGAAAATTTAAAAATCAAATTACGTATTTTCGCCTTTGAAAAGTTGGCGTTGCTTCGCATCCGTTTGCGTTTCGGGATTCCTGTCCCGACGATGAACGGATGCAAAGGAGACTACTTCTGTAGGCACAAGCAACAAAAATCAAACTTGAATTTTTCAAATTATTGCTTTCTTATTATATGTTTAAAATGTAGTCAAAACTATGCAGTTTTGTGTTAATTCAATATTTGAAAAATTTATATCAGTCAGTGAACGTAACTGTGATATTGAATGTACATGTACTTTCCTTTCTATAGGTGACTTTGCTATTAATAGTATTTAATGGTCAGATGATGAGGTTAATGAGGTCGATCGACGACAAAATATTAATTAACTCCATTGTATTATATTTCATGAAGTAAATAAATAAATTACATGCATATATACATGCATGCATGGATGCATGAGTGAGCCTGGACAATAATCCAAGCAAATGTCACCCGATGTATGGCAATAAGCTCCATATGCTACTGTAATCGGCGAAAGGAAGTAGATAGCCAAAGGTCTCGTGTTTCATAACAACTATATTCAAACSTGAAAACGCTGGCTACAATGGCATTGTAAATCGCCATTGTAATCGCATTGTAATCATTATTTCGTGTYTTATAATTTCGCTTGCTCTCCACAGGAAGGTGATTGCCAGAAACACGATCTGGGATCGTTTGGTTTTCAAAAAAATTCAAGTATGCACTTACTATAAACTTACCTACTATCAAATAGATTACCATAGTATTAAAATTATAAAGAATAGTAACGATTGAAAGTAGCTATACTGCGTTGTCAARAAACTTGAAGTCATACTCCAAAAAAAGCTTTTTAAACTGAATATCACAATAAGAATTATTATATGGAAGTGTCAGGATGGCCGAGCGGTCTAAGGCGCCAGACTCAAGGTTATACCTTCCCATGCTGCATGAGTTCGGGCGTTCTGGTCTCCGAATGGAGGCSTGGGTTCGAATCCCACTTCTGACACATTTTTTTATATTTCTGTATTTGCTTTTATTAGAATCCAATTCTGGCTGTATTTCTGCATACGTTAATTAAAAAAATATTAATTTTAGGGCAAGATCCTTCTACGCATATCTCAAATTAAAATAAAATTTCCAAAGAATTGATTTTCAGTTCTTTTTAGCCAACCTTTTTTACTATAGCCTTTAAATTTTCCCGTCGGATAATTGCCAGATTTTCATCTTGTCATAAATAAATCAATATGACAGTTTTGTACTTTTTTTCAATTTAGAATTTACTCGGTGGTAACGTRCGTATCATCACCAGTGGATCGGCACCTTTGTCACCGAAAGTCACAACATTCATAAGATGCGTTATGGGATGTTATGTAAGCAATTTAGTAGCAATCTTGTCATTTGCTAAACATGTCAACCAACTTCAAAAATTTAGAGCAAAAACGCTTTAAAAAAGGAAAAGAAAAAACTTAAATCACTCTCTTAGCCTCCTTCATAGCCGCTGAGGCCAGGAAGCCCGTGAAAAGGAGAGAATGCGTTGTGTTTGAAACTAGTAACGTTTTGGRTCACCAAACAATATTTCTCTGGAATATATCGATTGAATAAACTTTTATTTATTTTCACATTGTTTTTTTTAGCTTCAGGAAGGTTATGGACAAACAGAGACAACTGCAATTGTCACTATGCAGCGCCTGAACGACTTTACAACAGGTATTCAATATACGATGTTATAATATATTCACAAGGCAAAACCCAATAGAAATATCATAGCCCATGAAGAGAGTTGCATATTRCATACAGATCATATTGTATATATTACATAAAACCCATACTTAGAATTTTAAGATATTTTCTTTCCAAATGCCGTACTTTTGCATGAAACATTCCTTGAAAAGCAAATTCATCATGCTCAGCTCCAGTACATTATCAATAAACAATGCGCAACCAACGGCATTTTCGAAAACTCCGATGATGGGAATTTTCGTACTCTCACTTTCCCCCACTTTCAATGTTCATGTATGGTCGTTGTCTAATGACCTGTTTCTTGCTGGAGTAAAAACTTTGAGTGTCAATCATTTGCAGGTCACGTGGGAGCACCGGCGCCATGTAACCATGTGAAACTGGTAGATGTTGATGAAATGGGTTACTATGCAAAGAACGGCCAGGGGGAGGTAGGCTAGCACGACATCCCTAATTGTCCTTCAGTCTCAGAATGGGATTAATGTAATTTCCTGTCAACATGCGTTTTCTCGGAAACTCCTTTTAAAATAACTGTATATATTTCTTTCAGATCTGTGTCAAGGGTCGTAATGTCTTCAAGGGATACTTTGAGAATACTGATGACACTGCCGACTGCTTTGATGAGGATGGATGGTTTCATTCAGGGGACATCGGACAGTGGAATGAGGTACTGCTATTATGCGGTCTTATGGGCAATCCATTATGGATAGTTGTCATTCCTAATAAGAGAATCCATCAAGCTATGCAAAAGATAYGATGTTAGTGGATTTCATTTGACATCAACTGATTTGCTCCCGCGGCATTTCACAAACAATGATTTTGCCACTGGCTGTTCCTTGTTCTAATTGGTGACCGCTGTGGGYATGTTGTATGGTTTGATCGGAACCTGAAGTACTAAATGCCTTTCGACGCTTTCTTTTAGAATGGCACTCTGCGCATCATCGACAGGAAGAAACATATCTTCAAACTTTCACAGGTTCTTAGCTCAACGTTCAAGGAGTATTCCTAAAGCACCAAACTCCTCCCCCCAGCACCCTCCCCCCCCCCAGATCACTGTAGACTGACTTCAGACTGACTACATTCATACTCTTGAAATATAGCCTCAAATCCATATGTATTTTGTTTGAGAAAWTATTATAGTTTTTGCCATTTCTGCGAAAAAAAAACAAGCGAAATATGGAAAAAATTCGGATTTTAAGCCTCATCTAGCGGAAGATTTAATACCCATTTCAAATAAGTCTTTGGAACATTTCTTGCTTACGTTCTTGCTTCTTTGYCTGACGTTTTGTTAATTAGCTCACAACGCTACTAATATTTATTCTCGTTTTTCAAATATTCTCAGGGTGAATACATCGCTCCAGAGAAAATCCAAGGTGCCTATCTTCAAAGTCCTTATGTATCGCAAGTCTTYGTCCATGGAATYAGTTTGAAGGTYGGTYAGATATAAGTGGAGGAATTGAAAATAATTAGAAAATGCACTGTCGAAATAATCATTTGTTCAAAACACACGTCATAACTGCTGAATAAATGTGACGCCGTATCTATTGTCTATACTTTTATCAATGGCTATCAACCAATARAAATACGAGAATACCATAAAGTATTGTAAAAATGATATTACGATCTTCACGCGCACATGTAGGTATGGTAATTTTAAATAACATTGAGGTTTATATTTTTCAAYTAGTCATGCATCGTTGGCATCGTTGTCCCAGACCCTGAGCTACTTCTGCCTTGGGCCAAAGCAAACGGAATTCAAGRAGATCTCAAGAAGCTCTGTCAAAACCAGGTCAGAACTCAGCGC